GAAACGATGAGCACAAGCAGCTGCTTTCTATAATAAGAACTTCCTAGAATATAATGATAACCGTTTAAGAAACCCCACCAGAAGGTAAGTGGCAGGAGGAGGGGGTGCCTCCTCGTTGGAGCTCCTTGCAGCATAACCGGAGCGGAGCGTCCGGAGCCGGCGGGTCCCAGCCCCGCGCAGCCGCACACCAGCTGCGCCTCCGCCAGCCTCCCCGCCGCCTCGCTTCCCGCGCAAGGTTGTTGGGATGAGCATCCACGCCTGGCACAAAGGGAGCACCCGAGGAGTGTTAGCTATTATTCTTCAGTGTGGCACACTGTGGGTACCCAGTAGATATTTATTGAAAGCATAAGGTAAATGCTCAGTGATTATTAAAGTTCAATCAACTGCAGCAATCCTGAGCAACCGGTTTTGGTGGGCTAACGTAACTTTTAAGCCGCTTTCCCTTCTTTTTCTGTGTCTTTCCGTATTCCTAACCCATCATCTCTGCTTCATTCTGCCAAGCAATTCTCAAATTTGATATATATTCTTCCAGACCTCTTCTCGGCATATATGTATGTATGTGTATCAGCCAATTACACTCCACATACAATTTTGGGGACCTGTTTTTTTACCTGATATGTTTATGGGTGTCTTCCCATGTCAAATGTAATTATCTGTTATTTTTAATGGCTGCAGAACATTCCACTGTATGGATACACCGTTATCTAAAAATTCCCTACCAGTGGACACTTACTATGCTCTGCGGCCTCTGTGATACTCCTTTGATAAATTCCAACTCGTGGCATTGCTCAATGAAAGGGAAAGCACATTTTTAAAGGCTTTCAGGGCACGCGGCCATTACCCACCATTCACATCATGTCTCCTGCGTGACAGGTGCTGGGCTGAGAGCTGTACACTCAGCCTGAGGTCACAGGCTTTATCCTCATTTCTACAGAAAAGGAAACAGGCTCAGAGAGGCTAAGGACCTTATGCACACCCACCTGGACCCCTAAGAAAAGACAGATTCCTCCCACCATGGGGTCAACTCTGGGCAGGTGGCTTTGATTCTTCAGAAAATCAAGGACAAGGTGAGGCAGTGACAATGGCTTCCTGGTCAAGGAGACACCCCAACCTTGGATCCCCCACACTTCCTGATGTAGCCAGAGCAATGGCTCAGTTAGACCAGTTGTTAAGAAACCTGCCTTCGTCCTGGCTCGGCACCACCTGTCTGGGAGAGGGGGTGCAAAGTTAGAGCCAGAAAGGGTCCTACTGTCTCAACAAGCAGGTGGGAGCACTGTCCCTGTGCAGGCCTGTCACTTCTCAGGAAAGGACAATGAAGCCTGAGGGGAGGGCAGGACTGATAAATTAGAGGTAAACAAATGTCTCCTCTGAGCCTGTGCCCTCCTCTGTAAAATGAAGGTGTGAAAGGTTTATCTGGATGGGATCTTGGAAATAATCTGTAATCCTGGCTTCAGGCAAAGATGAACTTTTCATCAAGATGTGGCTTCCTCTCAACTTTCAGGGAATAGTTTTGTTATTTATTTTGTGATCAGAGCACACAGGAACCTAAAGTAAAATGTAGAACATGCAGGTTAATACCCATGAATTCAGGCCATGAAAATTCAGAAAGTGAAAATACACAACAGCGCCACTCCCAGTGTTCCAGAGGCCGTGGAATAACGGCCCCAGCAGCAAAAGGCTCTAAAATCTCCCTGACAATGAACACTGTGAAATCGACTGCAAACACAGACACAAGTTCAAAACAAGTGAGAGGTTTTAAACAGGAAAACAGAACTGTTTTGAAAATGAACTTGAATAACCTTCTAAATTTTGCACCAACATACAGTATTGTGATGGCCACTATTTGGTAGAAGAGCAAAGGAATCAAGGAGGAAAAATTCTTCAAAGCTAATTTTTAGAAACTCATTCTGTCTGATTCTACTCCAAGGTAGAATGGGGTGGGATGTATATAGAAGCCTCAAACAGTTGGATGGATGGAAAAATATTTACAATCATGTGACCTCACCTGTACTTGTCAGAGATTTTTGAATTGCCCCCAAACCATATATTAGCCACAAACTGAAAAAACCTACCCTGAATTCCCAAATTAAAAGTTGCAAGGGTTCAGTTATGGTGCAGCCTTTATGATGGAGTACTACATGGTTCCAAATCATAATTTTTAAATACTGACAGTGAAAAGAACTGTAAAATGACACAAGGAGCTATTCAATCCATTGGGTTAAATTAAAACCAGACTCAAACTATACCTAGTACAGTCCCAAGTACGCTTATAAATACAGACACAAACACGAGCAGAGAAGCTCTGAAATACATCAAAATATTGAAAGTGGCTACCTCTGGGTGGCAGGGTCATGGAGGATTCATTTGTCTGCACGCCTGAATCTGCTACGGTGGACATCACTTCACTGGGACAGTTTCTAGAGCCACCTGCATTAGCTGGCTCTGTGTAACTATGAATGCAGAGCAAGGAGAAGGGGAGAGGAAATTAAAGGCAAGTTTGCTTTCTGCTCTTTCTGACACGGCAGGCTACACGCAGAAGAGCAGCTGGAAGGAGACTGCTCTGCTGGGAAACTCACGTCTACAAGCCTCCGGACCCACAGCATATTTCCTTAGAATGCAGAAAAAGTGAATCAACATCTTTGCTTCAGACTAATCCAGAAATTTGATTTTTCTAAATTTCTCCCTACACCATAAAATCAGAATATACCAAGACTCTAGCCATAAAGCCCCTGAGAACAAAACCTTTTAGAAAGTCACACTGAGAACAGAGAAGTGAATAGCATTGGATGATAAAACCTGTGATTTCCCACATTTTGTCTAGATTTGTGCCTACAGAAATAACATAAATCTTCTTCGAGCTGCTCTGTTCCTAGACAAGAATAGAACCTTCCCCAAAGGAGCTGGGACCCTGGATGAAGCCCCCACACAGGCCCACCAGGCGGTCATACATGTTGTCTGAAAGGAACACGGCCTCCCTCCTGCTGCCTGTTCTCAGCCTGGATATCCAATCATTTAGCAGTTTAATTTCAAGTTTAGAACTCTTTAAAGTTGAACTCTCTCCCTTTCTTCTTGATCTTGACTCCCACTCCAGTATTCACATAAAAGCAGTAAATGCACAGATGGCTATAGAATGAAAAGTATCTCTACGTCCCTCCGACTCTCCTCTCTAGAGGTAACAGGTTTCCCAGATGTAGCACACACACAAGCATCTCATTTAATGAGGTCATGTCATATACACTGTGGGGCATTTTGGGTTTTTTTACTTAATATTGACATCTTTTCATACACACACACACACACACACACACATACGGAGGTTTTTTCCCCTTTCTAATGTGACTCTCAGCTTTCTGAGAGGTGGCCCAGCACGGTGAGGAGCCTGGTGACTACTGCCCCTTCTCCCTCAGAGTGGCTGCATAACCTCTGGGAAACCCTTTAACCCTTCCTTGGATCTCAGCTGCTTCCTCACCCATAAGGAAAAGGGTGGAGTTGCTGGGAGAAGAAAACTTTCTGAGCCTCAAGGCTGAGGCTGAAACAGGGGACTCCTCTAGTTTTAAGAGCTGTGTAATAGCATTCCCCCCGGCCGCAAGATGTCCACATCCTAATTCCCAGAATTACCTTAGTGTTACCTTAGTGGCAAAAGGGACTTTGAAGATAGGATAAAGTTCAGGACCTTGAGACGGGAAGATTATCCCGGATTATGCAGGTGGGCCCAATGTAATTAATTATAAGGATCCTTACAGGAGGGAGGCAGGGGGCTCAAAGTCAAAGAAAGTGGTGTGATGTCAGAAATGAGGTTGGAGTGATGCGAGGCCATGAGCCAAGGATTGCAGGCAACCTCCAGCAGCTGGGCAAGACAAAGAATGGACTCTCCCATAAAGTCCCCAGAAGGAATGCATTCTGACCCATTTTAGACCTCCCCCCCTCCAGAACTGTGGGAGAATACATTTATGTTGCTTTAAGCCACTCTGTGGAATTTGTACAAGAGCAACAGGAAACGAATACAAGCTGTCACCTGATGGTTCTAAAATGCCTTAGAGTCAAGTAAGGGAGCGCCTACCCACGGTAGAAGGTAAGCAGAAGGCAATGAGGGGAACAGGTGCTGAGAAGCAGGAAGCCCTGGGGGAGGGAGGGGAAGGCAGAGCAGGGACTCGGGGTGGGGGCTGTGGAGTTTGATGTAGGCTGTCTTCCCCTAGGCCACCATAAATGCCCTTCCTGCTGTTAATGCCAGCCCAGGATCTGACATGGGGATGAGGGCCCAACAGGACGGACACTGGACTGAGGGTCAAAGGGATGGGAGCTGAAGAAATGAGAGTCTGGGGCTCAGTTAAGTTCACTTTCCTCCAAGTTTATGCTCTGTAATTTTGTTGTGTTGACTTTTTTAAGGCAAGAATTTAGGCAAGTCAGAGCTAACAGAAGGCTGACCAACTGTCCCGGTTTGCCCAGGACCGAAGGGCTTCCTAGAATGCAAGGCTTTCTGTTTTAAAACTGAAGAGTCCCAGATGCACCAGGATGACTTGGTCACCTCAGCTTGCAGCCTAAAGAGGTTTCCCAACAGGGCCACCTATAATACAATGACACCAAAATGCAAAAACACACACGCTCAGGAAGAGGCTGAAAGACCGGAAGAGAGAACAGCCCAGTGATCCGAGACCATGGATCTTGGTGGGACAGACTGTGCTCAGTGCTTCCGTGATCCCAGGGGGCTATGATGTATGGAGAGGCCAGCCTCCTACGAGGGTCACCCTTGTGGACCTGAAGACATCAGCGATGGGACAGGGCTTAGGGCCAAAAGGAAGGCTTAAGCCATGTGCCAAAGTCCTTAAGAAATAAGGAGCCTGGATGGAGGCAAGTAGGGGGTTCAGGAAACAGCAGCATGGAGTGTGGTGGGGGCAGTGGAGGGGAAAGGGAGATCACTGAATGGTTGGCGCCTCAAAGGAGCAGGGTTTTATACGGGAGTGGAAGAGAAGTGATCCAGAAGTGCGGAAAAAATAAAGGGCACCATGACCAAGTGACTTCTGGGCTTTTTAACTCCAAAATTCTGACATATGCAGGTGGGGATAAATCCTCCCACTGTGGGTCCAAAATCTGGCCCTGGCCTCTGAGGGTACTGCATTCTTGGCAGGACATGGGTTCCCTGTTGGAAAGTGGCTCTTGACTATCTCTGTGCCTTAAGGCAATTTACCAATTCACAGAAAAGACTGAAAAATATCCCAGTGGGCAGCCTGTACTCTTCAGTAGAGTTTCTGGAGACCGCCCTCTGCATAGAGCACTAAGGGTTTTGGCAAAAAAGCTGAAGTGAGGCTGGGCTGGAATCCTGGTTCCACTACTTACTAACTGGGATCCTTTCACCTCTCTGTGCCTCAGTTTCCTCATCTGTAAAACGGAGAAATCAGACGACCCACCTGAGAGGCACCAATATACTGCTTACAGCACCGGCGCTATCGTCTGCAGGGTGTGGGAATTTGCAAAGGGGAATGGGGCAGACCATCATCCATCCCCTACTTCTTCTCTGGTAACAGAACCCAACTTTAGGGCTGGTAACGTGCCCAGCTCACTTCTCCCTTTCTCAGCCTCCCTTGCCTTAGCCATGTGCCTTAGTTCTGGCCAATGAAGTGCAAGCAGAAATCTGTTGGGGAGAAAGGAAGGTTTTGAAAATAAGTTTGGCCTTCCTGAAAAGAAGGAGAAATAGAGGCTGGTACTCATGTCCCCCCTTCTTCCAGCCCTGGATACAGAGGTGATGTTTGGCCTGGGGCCATTATATTATCACCATGGGGCAAATGCCAGTGCTCTCAGGTAGTGGAGAAAAAAGTGTGGGTTCCTGGAGGCATGTTGGCAGCTGAATCAGAGCTGGTGATCACCTCCCCTTGTTCTTGTTAAGAAAAATAACTCCCAATTTGCTTAACTACTTTATTTGGAGTTTATAGTTAATTGTAGCTGAACACATTTCTAAATGGTATAGGGCTTAGCCTGCCTCCTATTTAAAGGAGGGCCCTGCAAAAGCACAGCACATTCAAGATTCAGGTCAGCTGTTTCTATCAAGTGATTTTTTTTTCAAAGAAAGGAATCAGGTGCTAAAGGATCTAGTAGCATGAACTCCATTTTTCTTTTCCAAACAGGATGGAGAGGGGATAATAGCAACAGGAATGGCAGAAGCACAACGTATAGGTGTGCCTAAGGGCACCGTGGGGAGGCTGTGTTCAGCAAGGGGCTGAAAAGAAAGCAGATAAAGCCACTTCCCCAGGCCTAGCCTGAGCCCAAGCTCTGCTGAGGACAGAACATCTGACAGAGTAAAGGGCAGCTGATCCCACCAAGAGTCATGTAGCCTGGCTATTTTGTTGCACACCCATAAAAATCACAGAGCTGGTTCTGAATTATGGTTGTAGTCAAGAATGTAAGTGTATTTACGATTGATACTGCTCTTCCATGCCAACCACACCGCATCCATCCAAAAGCTTCTTAAACAGCCTTAAATGAACTAAATGTTTGGATCTGGTAAGCTCCTCTGCTTCCCTTCCCCTCATCTGGCTCTCCACCTTCAAAAAGAGGGAACAGAGTGGAAAAGTGAGCTTTTAAATCAGAATCTGATTCTCTGCAAAAGCAAAATTAAGAAAAGACAACTGTGATAGAGAAAGCCGAATGTTGTAAAACAAGAGTTTATCCTAGGCCGCGTCCACAAGGGCTCGCTGCGTTTGCCTCCGCTGGCAACCCCCTCCACCCCGCTCCGCTAGGGAAGGGCGTGAATACGATCAGTTTGCACCCTCCAGGCAGGTTTTGACGGTAACCGGTCCCACGATCCTTCATCAGGAGGGAAGCAGCTGGATGCTGCTACCACCCGGCGCCCCCGCCCAGAGGCCGGCTGGCCTCCGCTAGCGGGCGGGGCGCTGCGAGGCTAGG